GCAAACAACTGACCTATGCAGGGCTCGTCGCAGGCATTTTCTCATTTGCAGTTGAATAGCATCTTCTGAATAAAGGCCAACATATTCTTTGAGTGGTTATCATTTATAATGTTTAATTAGGATGGTCTGAATTTTGGTGAACATTTTTCCACCAGGACCTTTATTTTAATACTTAACCAAAAACAGAATAAAATGAAGCAAGTTATCATATTAAGAGCCAAATAGTAATCTTTACACAGAGCTACAAATTGAATCAGTGTTCTCCTTTCTCCTTAATCAGGTTCCTTCCAATTAAGACCGTGGCCTTTTTTCTCCTCTTATTCCCGTCCTTGGTTTCCTTTGTTCTCCAGCATCTTTATTTTCCTTGTCCTCTTTCCTCGCTGTCATTACAGCTCAGGGTGTACATTTCTGTCATCTTCTACTTCCTCATCCCTGCCACCAGCAATGTTTACCAATTTTTATGCTTCAGAACAAACAGTTTCAATTTACTTTGCCTCAACTTGGGGCCGGGGAGGGAGAGATACCTGCCTGCCTCCCTGACCTTGAAAGCGATGAATATTTGGTGTAAATTTTAAAATGATTGCACAAGGGGACCTTGAGGCATGCCTTGAAATTATATGGAAGAAGGAATTGAGCCAAGTGCATGCTGAGCCTGTCGTACTGAGCCCAGGGCACAGCAAACCCGTGGGTCTAGTGACTGGCTCCCAGTGCCAGCGATTTGTCATTTTGCACAGCATGCTGTATAAACAAGGAAAAAAGTTCCCGTGAGTCTACCCACGTCTTTCAGTAAATGACTAGCCTATGAGCAGAATATAACATATCCCTATTAGATAGCATGTTTGGCAAGATGATTACCATGTATTTTTCTAAAAATTCAGAGCAATTTGATCTTATTATTTCAAAAATATGTCTGTGTGACAACTAGATAATATTTTACCTAATCGATCATGATATGGACCTAAGCTAGATTTAAATTTTCTCCTGAAGTGATTATGTTTTTCATTGATTTTAATAGTTTTCTCTTAAATAAAAACACTAATCCTAGTCAACCGGGATTCAGATACGTAAATATCATCCTAATTTGCCAGAATCAAACCATATGCCATCATCTAATGGAATCTGAGCTGGATGAGTATGATGTCCCATTTATGACAGCTTCTCCTCCAGACCACAGATCTGACTGTGTTCTGTGATAATATCATTAGAGGTAGTAGCATGCCTAAAATAATAAGGATAAACATTCTCAGGTGGATGTCCTCTGGCTCTGTGACCCTCTAAGATACTGCAAGTTCAGAGCATTAGGGATATCTTATTGGATGACAGATTTAATGCTACCACCAGCCCCTGTCAAAACTCTGCTCCTGGGTAGAAGTGTGGAGTGTAACTCTGGCTCCTGCGTCGCCGGTGGGAAGCTGCTCCGCAGGGCTCGGCCAAGTGTGCCTCCTGCAATCCAGGAGCCTACGATTCTGCTTCTGGCAGCCCTGGCTTGAGCTCCCCGCCAGGCTGTCAGAAATCAAGAAAGGGCCCAGGAAAATCAACCCAAGGAATGAGCACAAAACCTTGTCCTGTGTCTACAGCCGTGTGATATGTGTGCTGGGGACAATATTCTTCATCTTCTTCATATCAGGAACTAGAAGGAGTAAGAAGCCATAGTGGGAAGGAGGGGAGCGGAGGGATTTTGTTGTTGCTTATATAGATATAAAGCAAACAGATTTTTAGTCACTAAAATGTTTCTGAAAAATACTATGTTTCCTTCATTGAAATAACAAGAAAAGCCACCACTGAGTCCTGTTCTGAGCACCTTATGTAGCTCAGTTAAACCTTTGAAAAGACCAAGGAGGTAGGTACTCTTATTATCTATAGTAATTTTCTGTATTAAACCCATTTCAGAGATGAAGAAACTGAGACTGGAAAGGGTAGTTAACTTGCAGAAAGTCTCACAGCTGCGGGAGTTGGAACCTGGGCCACTGCTGTTTCTTTAGCCTTTTAACCGCTTCTCGTCCTGGATTATAGAATCTCATGTAATTGTTGTACTGACATTTACCATGTTGCAATGCTTACATCAACAGTATTGTTAGGAATAGTGCAGAAAGAAAATGTGGAAGAGGTGGAGAAATAAAAGTGCTGTTTATTAGTGCTCTCAGAAGTCTTCTCTACTTGAGTTTTATTGATGCCACACTGGGTTTAACATTAGCTTGACTTAGTACAGGTCAGAAGGTAAAATTTATTTCTTCTTCTGAATTTTTGGAAATCATAACTTTTCTTATTTGTCCAGGACATATAGTTATCATCTCTTCAGCATAAAGGTTAAAATGTAGATCCCTGGAGAACTCATTTTTTTTTTTTCCTTTTTGTCTTTTTTACTGACCGGTAACGGGATCGCAACCCTCG